CAAATCCTATCATTATAACATTGCATCGAGACATATTAAGGTCATTGATTGTTGTTTGGGAAAATTCATGGGGACTATGAGGTGGGAGTGAAAGTATTAAAAAAAATCCTCATGTCATGTCAGAAACTGTCTGTAATTTGTTTTTTTTTTCAAAGGAGGAAAATCAGGGACTTAGGATCTAGAATTTTCAATTTGGCTTTTATATAAGAAAACAGAAGTAGATAATACTAAATGAGAGAAAGTCTTCTGAAATAGGCTACTAATAAAATGAAAGAAATGTAATAATAGAAAAGAGAGAGAGAGAGAGTTGAGAAAATAACTAAAAAAGGGTCGCGTTCATGGAGGTATTTGTGAAGCTTGGACAAGTCAGAGTTGGGGAGACAATTGATTTCAAAAGGATCATAAGAAAAGTGGTATGGAAAAGAAAAGAAACTAAAAATAAATTCCATAAAAATTATTTTATGTTTCTTTAGATAAGTGGGAATACAAGTGTCTAACAATTAATAGAGTTTGAAGATACATGAAACATGCGTTTGATTATGCATCAAAATGGCTCAAACATACGTAACTTAGACTTATATCTGAAATGCATGTAAGCATTTCTTTAACGCGAGGCCAAAGACTGCAGAAGTCTTAGGTTGAGAAGAGTAAACTTTATGAGTTGGAGATATAGATGAGGTACAAATTTGTGTTGCAATTATATGTGAAAACCAATATAGATTGATTAGGACGGAAGAGATATGTCACTATATATATTCAATCACAAGGAAATCGATTCAATAGGAGTTTTTTTAATGAAAAAAAAAACCTTTGAGAAAAAATCTCCTTCAAAAGTGGAAATTTATTTTAATTTCTTTTTGGGTATATGCATCTAAAGAGTTAAATAAAAAATAATAATTTTTCTAATGTGTGTTCAAAAATATATGTTAAGAAAATTAAACTACAATTTTTTTTTATTGAAAATAGAATATTTGTTGTCTTAAAATCATAATTAATAAACAACCAATACATATTTTTATAGTAATTTAAAATATTTATTAAAGTGTGTTTAATATTTCTTTTTAAAGTATACTCTTCGATACACATTAAAAAAATTGTATTATAATGAGTTTGTTTATAAATTCTAATATTTCAAAAGCTATTACTTTTGCTTGGCAGATATATAATCTTAGATAGATTTTCATCAAGAGTTGACTTGTAGAACAGAAATATCCTTCACTCTAAGGATGATATTGTGTGTGTATTCTACAATATGACGTGATTCTTCCAAACTCTGAAAGTCAATACTTTCTACCACATGCTGATATGTTGAGGAAAAGGGGATTCATTAACATTTGGAATGTGTTATGGTTAGTGGTTGTCTGGTTCATTTGTTTCGTAGAAACAAGAAGATATATTAAAGTCTGCAAACATACATGTAGAAGAAATTTTAGACATCATTAAAGTTCGGTCATGGCTTTGGAAAAAAGGAAAACGTGAACTTGCAAACCTATCTTTCTTCGAATGGTTCGCAAATCATGTGATCGACATATGTTAAATTTACTATAATAATTAAAAAGTAATGGATTCACAGAATTAGGAGGTTTTGTGTAATCATAGATCGATTGTATATGAATTGAATGCCCCTTATATTTCTTATCTAATAGCATCTCTTGACTTATACAAAATGGTATAAAAAACGGTCTTTGCCATAAAATAAAACTTATGTTAATTTAAGTATACATAAAAAAAAGTTTAGTTTGAAGGATTTCTTTACTACAAAGAATTTCATTATATAAAAAACTTTTAAGCTTAAAAACATTTTATGCTCTCTTATCTTTATTATATTACTATAAAGTGATAATCTCAAACCTTATTGTTACCAATTTATTAAGACAATCCTTGGAATCAACATATTCCGTAATTTAAAAGAAGATTTTTTTAAAGGTATAGAATAAATATAACTATATCAACTAAGAATAAAAGCAGAAATAATCCAAACGCAACATAGAATGAGTGAGGAAATCTTATTTGATTGATAATAAAAAAAAAAAACTAATTTAATTTTAATAAATTAGTGTAAATTTTTTATATTAATGTTTAATTAAAAATTATTTAACGTATAATTTTTAATTATTATTATAAAATCAATAGTTATAAATACATAATAATCTAATAATTAGATAACGATATAAAAAAATTATATTATCGCTCTATTTGAATTAAATTTGTTAAAAAAAAGTCTCTAAATAATTTATTGTGTGTCAACTTAGCTGTAATATAACAAATGTTGCTAAAATGAGAGGATATAAATAACTAAGGAGATATGCAATGAATGGTGTCGTACAATTTTTGTATGAAAGGGTCTTGAAAATGAAAGAATTTCTCCAAATGAATAAGCTTACGAAAGAAAATCCATGTCCTCCAACTTAATTATCATGTCATCTGCACAAATGCTCTGTTTTTCAATCAAATTTACTAATTGTTTATTAATTATTATTTGCTTGTGACACGTTGCTCCTTTTTCCTGTTTTCTATCTTTTGTACAAAAACGTGATGAACGGCTTAAATTAATTAGCACTTTTTTTCACTCACATATACCAATATAAAGGTGACATGTAATAATTTTTAATTAATCACATAATTATTAAAACTAAAACTAAAGTCTGATAAAAATATATTTAAATGTATATATATTGACTTATATTTGTGGTGGGAAGAAATGGTGTTGATGGGTGGATTTATTGCCAACGACTGTATGAGTGTAGAAAATGATGGATCATGTCAACGTACTCTCTCTATAAAGTTGAAAGGTTTTTAAGTTTCTTTTAATTTGTAATTTCGTTACTATCTGCTTTCCAATTTGTTGGGACACTCTCCTCCAACAATTCTTCCCTTTCCCTTTTATTCGTCTAAACGCATTTAATTAACATCACAAGATCGCCTTTGAAATTTGTTAGGTGTAGACGCTCACACGCACACAAAAATGGTTAACCGTTGGAAATGTTAGAGTATTTGGATGCCTTTTTTGCCCTTTAAAACTTGAATTAATTTATTAATTACAAATTAAAATTTTGAGTTTAATTGGTGAATCTGCGGTTGTTGGTGAATGGACCGAGACATTTGGGGTGTGAATTGATGTGGGGCAGACACATTGTAGAATGCATGGCCTCCATATTTGGATCACATGATCCACTGGCTAAGGTGTTATCATCTACCATCTATCAACCATCCCTTTACTTATGTCATTGCCACCCATTCTTGTGTTCACTATGCGATAAATCATGTCAAGATACTTTCAGGTTTCATGCTATTGGAAACATATTATGTTTATGTTTAGTAGTTTATATGATTAAAAAAAATCTTAAAAGGACCAAAATATTTCTCTCATTTTTTTCCCTTTTCTTACTTCACTGTCCATTTTATAAGATTCTCATCATTGTATCTATCTCTTTCTATGAAAATGAATGATAGAAGTGATATTCAAATTTTATGTTTGAAAATAATTTTTATATCTAAGGATAAGATCAAACGAAAAAGAATTGCTAAAAGTTGGGTAGAAAAAAAGATAAAGTAGGTACGTCAATAAGAAAAAATAAGCTTAGTAAAACAGTCATTTTGGATAATATGTTTGGCTAACATTTGGGTCTTCATTAGATGGGAACAATGAATCGGTTTCCAATGCCTCCCACCACATTATTTACCTCGCCATTTTGGGGTTTGTCCTCTCAATATCCAATACTATGTTGTCTTTGTACGTTTATGTGGATAATTAGGTAGTAGTAAGGTCACTGGTGGGGTTTTCTTGTCTTTCATTATGGACCCATTCAGTGACCTAACTCGGGTACCGTACCTTTAAGAGAAAATTATCTTATTTTATTAAAATTGTTACGAAATGTTTATTATACCTATCATGAAATTTTGTTTATGCAATAAATAAATAGAAAGAAGATAAAAAATGATTTTTGAAATAATAATTATTTTAAAGATAATATTGAAATAAAAAATTAATATTACTTTAAAATTCTAAAATGATAATTATTTTTAATATATTATTAGCAATTGTCAGTTCCTTACACTCAGCCCATTAGCTTGATCATTATTAGGCCTATGCCTCCCCACATTGAATCAATGGTCCAGTCCATACTGCGTGATGCATGTATATAATTAATAATACATCAGAATTTGACCAGAAATGGTCATGACAAGATTTTTTTGTTGTTTTTGGTCAAAAAAGGCTTGACAAGATGAGCTACTGCAAGCAGTCCAAATGGCCTATTGCGTGTAAATGGACCTAAATTTCCCAACGCCATCAATTCCCTTTCCCTTTCCCTTTCCAACTTATAGATGACTCACGCGTGTTCTTTTGTTTCATTAATATCATTGATTAGTGTTTGTTTGCGGAACCCTGTCAAAATTTAAATTTTATTTGGTCAACAATTGTTTTGTTTGCTTGATTATTGGCCATCTTCTCTTTATATCGTTGATATCATTTCTCGAACACAGTTACAACTTACTTTATGAAAAATCGTTTCTTCTTGATCTTTGTTATTTATACGTAAATGAGAAAGTTAATGCTACAAATAGTTTCTTTTCAAATTTCTATGAAGAAGAAATTTCGTGAGGAGTTAATGAAGCATGTCGGTACTTTTACTGAAGATGTGTTTAGTTTAATTAGAAGTTATCCTGTAATGCCAATAAAAACCACATTTCATAAATAAAAGTCACACAGTAAATATATAATATATCTTGTTTAATAATTTAGGATAATTATTAGGTGGATGTTGTCTATACTTCGTTTATTGAAATATTGCAAACTATTTCTAAAAATGTGTATAAGCATTATATGCAAATTACAGATCTAACCTACCTCTACCAATCGAGGCATTTTGAAATATTCTTTTAACATTTGTGTTATCTAGGTTCGGTAATATACACTAGGTAGCAATAGGTAGTATTTTTATTTAAAAAATAAAATGTAATATTCAATTTATATAAAATAAAAATATAATAATAAGTTAATGTAAAAACTAAACTGTATATTAATTTTAATGAGAAATAACTATATATTCCTTTAGTCCTTTTTATAAAAAATAAAATAAAATATTTTCTTAATTTTTATTATAAAAAATAAATAATAAATTTACTTTCTTTTATTAGTATCATTAAATATATAAATTACTAACTACGCTATTTAATATCATGAATATTTTTAGAATAAAATATTTATAAAAAAGATAACATACTTAATTATTTTTCTTAATCTTTGTAATTTAGTATTTTATTTCTTATAAAAAGGACCAAAAGAAATATAATATTACATATTATTTAAATTTTTAACTATAGAATAATCGAACTACTTTACTTAGTACATGGCTTAATTTTGTTACCCAACTATATTACATCATGGGGTATCATAGGCAAAGGCAAAGGGGTCTCTTTGTCCAATGCCACATCATGTTGTTGAATTACCAACACTGAAGAAACCACCCCCAACGTTGATGATGCTAGAATGTCTCCAATTGGACCTAATTCTTCGTGCTCTACTTCCCTATCCTTAAGATCTGCCACCAAACTAGACGGAAATCGACCCTTTCCCACAATTATGAGATCATAATCCCTACTTCGCCCTATTGCCACCACATCCTCCATAACGTTGCTTGCTACCTTCTCAACACAATTTACCAGGCCACACCATTTTCTTTCCAACTTTGCCATTGTTGTGTCATCTAGCTCCTAAAAGCAAGTAATCATAACAATTCAATATGAAGAAAAACTATATAATTTTTTTTAAAAATGCACAAGGAATTAATATATTTTATATGTTAAAGCATAAACAAATATTTACCTTTTCCTTTTGAAGGTTCACTTTAGCAATGGATGCATTGTAGCTCCCCTCACTACTATTGCTTGGAGAGAGACCTTCCAACGCATATTTTTGAACGAACCTCACAACAGTCACTTTAACAGAAGGGTGGTTAGATATTTTGTTCCCTAACTCCAAGGCCTCGCGATCGTCAGGCCCACCAAAGAAAAGAATACAAACTCTATGGGTGATAGTAGTGGGTAGGCCCAAAGTATGAGGCCCATTTCCATATCCCCGATCAACAAGCACAGCCACAGAACAAGGTGCATTCTTAAGCACCCTCTGGTTCACACTTCTCCATCCATGACCAATATTTTCAACCATTTGGTGTTGGGAAACCTCATTGTTCTCCACCTCCTCTTCCATTTCCTCTTTCCTCCACCTTTTGTGGAAGGGCAAGATGATCAAAGTCACCATTTTATCATCCGCCACGTGGCATATGTCTTCATGTACAGTGGACAATGGCGAGATAACGGTTGTGGACCGAACCGAAACTTGACCCAATTGACTATGGGCCTTGAAGGCCCTATAGAGTTGGTCTAGCCACTCAACATGGCTAGAGCGGTTGAAAGAAAGAGAGCCATTTTTGCGAACGTTTTGAGCCAATACGATGGAGGAAGGACGTTCTGTGAGCTCAACGAGGTGCACGATGAAGAGCTTGAGAGAGGACTTATTGGTGCCACGACATGACTCAATGAAGCTAATGGTGGAAGGAACATTGTTAGGACCATGGACACAAGCCATGGCTTGAAGCTCATTTGTGGCTTTATCGTTGGTGGTGTTGTCACCCAGTTTGTGAAGTGTCCGAGAAGATTTGTCATGACTAGGTTTATAGATGGACATCACTAATGGGGTTGTGATGAAAGTGGTGAACAAAGCCATAAGCACCAAAATGGCAAACATTTCATCGTTCAATACCTATAAGATAACAAGCAGCTGGTAAATTGTAAGTGAAATAATAATAATAATAATAATAAACCAACACTTATTTTCCAAATCATTCGGCAAAAGGGTTACAAAAGATACACTAATAATTGCATGAGTCGTTTTTACGGGTGAATAGATTAAAAATTTAGATTGACCTTAAATAGTCTACTATAAATTAGAATTGGTTCGAGTTTATGAAAATGCGTTTTTATTATATAATCCCAGATGTTGTATTTAAAGTTTATAAAAAAAGTACTAAACTATTAGGGTTTTGTTTTTGCTTTTGTTTTTTAATCTATACGTACCAAAATATTCAACTGATTATAAATTTTGAAGTGTCTTTTTTTATTTAAAGTTTTTTAATTAAAAAAATGGAGCAATTGAAAACTAGGAAAAAAGAAAAGAAAAATTTAATGTAAAAATGTGGAAAATAATTAAGTTGAAGTTAATGAAACGAAAAGAATGTTCACTATAAAAAATTATTAGATGGTTTAACAAGTTGATATATGCAATAAAAAAAGAAAAATTAACGTAAGACAAATTTTTAAAAAATTATTACATCTTCGAAGTTGTACAAAACTATTAACTCATCTTAAAAATAAAAAACATGTTAAAAATAAAAATTTAAATAAAATAAAATATTTTAAAGATATTTTTATTAAATAGAATAAAATTGATTAAAATTTACTCATATTTCAGATCATCATATTTGCTTGTATTTTATGTAAATGTACTTTCAGTGAAAAAAATTTATTTGAGCTGATAAAAAAAATAGTGCATATATTGTTATTCAGTTAATTTAAAAGTTTGATGTTTAACAATATAAGCAAAAAATAAAATAAAATATATTTTTTTAACAAATTTGATAAAACTTTAGAAGATTTTTTAAAAATCATTAATTGATTCCAGCGATGTTTTTTTAGAATTTTTCCATCATTAATGAGCCAATAATGTTCACATGGCAAACCAAGAGACTCAACCGAAATATCCCACTGATTAATAATATGAACTATTTTTCATTCAACATTTTTTAGAAATAATTTTATGAGTATATTTTTCTAGGCCTTGTATTAGAAGCATCTACTATTACTTTAATGTATTTAATATTGTTACCTATATTCGAATAGTTTTTTTTTTCTTTTTTTCTAAAATATCTGCTTTTCCTTTACAAACAATAACTTCTACAAAACAAAAATACAATAAACACATTTAAAAAGTATTTTTGACTTTTCTACCTCTAACGTGGTGACTCCTCACACACAGTCTCACTTACATAGTGATTGAAAAGGAAATGATTGAAAATTTTGTTCTGACCTTTTTCTCCTTCCCGATGTTAAGGACAATAAGCTCCACCAGTCCCTTAGTATTCATGAGCACCGCAATCGTCAACGACTCCCTCGTCGGAATCTTGCAAGCCACTGCCACCACAAACGTCCCCACTATCTTCCCTGCACACGCCGTAGCAATCACCAGCGCCAACAATCCCCACCCCTCCGCTCCCTTAATCGTAGCCACGTTCGTCTTCAACCCACTCGACGCAAAATACAACGGCAACAACAACCCCACCACAAAGTCCTCAACCCTCACAATCAACCTCTCTGCAAAAACCCCTTTTGGAACCGTTAACCCAAACACAAACGCCCCAAACACCGAGTGGATCCCAATCAAGTCCGTTACGAACCCGAACACCAGCACGCACATTAACGTCAAACACACGTAGTTCTCGTCCACGTCACCGTTCGCCGGCGAGCATTTCCCGGCGATAAATTCCATCGCCGGCTTGATAGCCACCATCATGAAGACAACGAAGGCCGCGCCGGAGAGGAGCACCCAGACGGACACCAGGGGGCTCTTGTGTATGTGGTTGTCGCCGTCGCCGGCAAGTGCGATGGCCAGGGCGAGGAGGATCCAGGCCGCAACGTCGTTCAACGCCGCGGCGGCCATGGCGGTGCCACCGGGCTTAGAGGTTAGGAGTTTAAGCTCAGCTAATATCCGGGCAAGCACGGCGAAGGCTGTGATGGAAATGGCTACGCCGATGAAGACAATGAACTGCGCGAAGCCGATTTTGTCTGCGCCATCGACGGTTTTGCGGAAGACTAAGGCGAGGCCGATGCCGGAGGCGAAGGGGATAGACATGCCGGCGACGGCTATGCTGAGAGCTTTTCTTCCACTCCGGCGAATAGAGACCAAGTCGAGTTCGAGACCCACAAGGAACAAGAAGAAGAGAAGACCTATGCTGGCGACGGATTCGAGTAACGGCGTGCTCCATGTTGGGAACACTCTGTGCATGTACTTTTTGTTCCTTCCCAGAACCGATGGACCCAACACTATCCCTCCCTGTTACATTAAAAATTCTAAAATTAATAATTAATAATTTACTTATTACATAAAATGAAATGACTAGTTTTTGGAAATAAATGGAGTGTGGGAGAAGAGTGTTTGAGCTTACGAGAATTTCGGCGATGACTTTGGGTTGGCGGAGAGGTTTGAGGAGGAAAGAGAGGGAGCGACTAACGAAGATGATTAAGGTGATTTGAAGGATTAGGAGAGGGAAAGCAAAGTGTAAAGGGTTGTCTCCTTGCCATGCTCCGTTGGAGGATGTTTTTATGGAGGTTATGTTCAATACCATGTTTTTATGGTTCAGATTGTGAAAAGCAGCAGGGAGCTATGCGAGAACATATAGCCTAAAAAGCTAGGCGTTGACTGGGAGTGAGGACAACGTCACAATATCAATGGAGGTCCATTTTTCCTTTTTTTCTTGGTCTTGGTGGATTTAAGTTAAGCTACACTTCACAGTTTTCCATCCTCCGTTGTCTCCGATCAGTATATGGATACAGATACAATGGGAGGGGAGTTCTATTATCCATCACTTAATCAATTTTTTAAGAATTGTTTGGATTAAAAACAAAACTGAACCAATCAAACAAATATACTGAAGACTGTTTTAGAAAAAGCAGTGTATTGAAAAGTAAATATCTATTATTGATCTAAATTTTAGTATTTTATAAAAAAATATTAAAATTTGGCTAAGGTTGATTTAACCACAAAACATAATAATTTTTATTAAAAATATATAAAAATATTTTTATTTTATATTTTAATTTAGAGTGTATTTATTATCATTTGTAAATATTATTTTTTATTTTATTTATAAAAACTAATTATCAAAAAATTTTACCATGAATATTCAACGTTTTGCGTAACAAAACACGTTTTTTTGTCACTTTAGTTGATTTCAACGTTGTTGATGACGTTTGGAATTTTGTTATATTTAATAAAATCGAGGTGACGATAAAAAATAATTGTTTAGGAGAAAAGTAACAGATTTTGCCTTTTTATTGACATGAATCAACGTCGGATGTGAAATCTCCCAAGTATATATTAAATATATATACCATTTTTATATTTATTCATTCTTGATTATTTTAAATTTGATTATATCAAAATTCAAAACGAACAAGTACTCTTTAGTTGTGTACTTTAGGTGAAGAACAACAATATTCATAACAAATTTAAAAAATATAAAAAATGAAGACAGATAAAGGAGTGAAAACGATTTAGTTGTGAAAAGCTCTGTTTTTGTTATTGTTTTTGTTTTATAACGAAGAGCTCTTTTTTTTTTTTATTATTGTTAATCTTTATATAGTTTCGTATATTAATCGAGTCTTTGTTCTAAATTTAAAGAATTTTATCCTTTTTTTTTACTATTTCACATGGATTCTCTTATATTTAATATCTATTTTTTAAATTTAAATTAAAAATATTATATTATATTTTATATTTAATCTTAAAATTATTAATTTTCTATTTTAATCCTATTCAATATAAAAATATTATTACCAATATTAATATATTTCTATTTTTTCTTGATTTGTTAAATTTATTAAATTTTAAAATAACTGTACAATATATTATTTTAAATTTTTTTATTTAAAAATATTAATATAATATACAGAAAAAAAGTAACTAGTTAATATCAATGCCGTTTTTGCTGTGTTGTTAAACTTATTAATATAGTTTTGTTCCAATGGCCCCAATATTTTCTTTCAATTTTCTTTAATAAGTGTCCTAAATAATTGATTTAAGACTATTTAATGAGATATTATTTTTTCAAAATTCAGAATTTTTTAATATTTTAATAAATATTATTTCAATTAATTTTTAAAAAATAGTGCATTGATTATAAATGAGCATATAACTATTTTTAATATACTAAAACTCGTTTTTTTTTCTAAAAAAAAGTAAGAAGTGGTGAGAAATCAATATTCCCTCGAATAAAGAGTATCGACTTTTCATACAATTACGTGACTTAAATTGTTAATAAGTAATACATGCATTAATTATAAAGAGAATACTTGTAAATTGTAAACAAAAAGTTATTGATTCAGTATTAACTAATATAATACATTGAATATTTTAAAATCTAAAAAGATAATATTAAAAATTTCCATGCATTTAATTTATTGAACATATTTATTTAAAATGTTCATTTGAATTTTTTTAATAAATAATTTAAAATTATTTGTTAGTATTAAATAAAAGGCTAAATCAAAGTAGTAATATACTCGTGAGTAGAGATCTTAAAAATAAAATAAAAGATAATATTAATATGTGCACTAATTATAATTTTCTTTAAATACTGGTAAAAATAAACCATCTTCAGGAACAAAATTACAAATCTGAAATATTGATAAATCAACTATTCCATTAGTCATGAATCTCCAGCTGACGTGTGTCATTAAAAAAATGATTTTTATTAAAGATTATATTAAAAATCATAATAAACACACATTAGTAATTTATATATGTATACATATAATTATTATTTTAAAGATACTGGCTACAATTACATATCATAGAATGTCTTAAAAAATAAAGAAGCTATAAAAATGTCTCACTGTGGAAAAAAATCCATAAGAAGGTAAATTTCATCACGCGGAAATGAGAAAAGTTATTTAATGACCAACTTAAGAGTAGGGGAAAAAAGACAGCGATTCGTAGAAAAGCACGTCCACGTGGAAAAACGAGGAGAAAATTATTACGTCAAGTAGACGCCGTTTCAGGGCAAATGTGAATGAAATAATTAGTCAAGTCAACAATTGCATTCAATCAATTACAATGTGTTTTAAAAACAAGCTAAAAGCTAACTTAAGCCAACTTAAAAAAATAGATAATATTATATTAATAATATTAAAATTAAATATTATTAATTAATTATATAAAAATAAATTATATTTTTATGTATTTGAAACATAAAATATTGTAGGTTCTATATTTTTATTTTAAAATATATTTAGATAAAAAAATAAATGAGTAAATGAAAAAGTAAAAAATAAAAAATAATAAATATGTTGGTAGTTAACTTTTAAAAAATATTTTATATTTTTTAAGTTGATAAGTTATAGCTGTGAAGTTAGTTAAAAACTGTGGATCTAAAAACTTATAATTATATAAATAATTTATAATTTTAAAATTATTTAATAAATTATTAATACAACTAACTGATATATATATATAATCATTTAAAATGATATATAATTTCATACTAATGTTATATTAAAATTTACAAAAATATAAGTTAATGGCCTAATGGGTAACAACTCACAGGCTTTAATCAATGAAAAGTGGCCAAGTTATTAACATCATAACATTTATAATTGATCGATTTATTCAAGCGTATCAACTATTCAAACGTGTATCACATCACATAAATATTTCAATTTAATTTGTCATCTGGAATTTGAATTTTGCTATTATAGATATTGACTTTGCTCCCTTGCCTAGATTCCACGGTAGATTAAAATGTAGGCAGGTCCAATAACCTTTTATTCTTGGGACCAAGCTAAACATAAATGTAAGTATTTCAAAAATTAATATGTTCAATTAAAGATTTATATTTCAAAAACATTGTTTTAGTATGATGTATTAAAATTTCAATTAATTGTCATTATATAGATAAAATTGAAGTAGTAAGAGGAGATGAGGATCGCAAAATTGAACATGGACTAAAAGAAAAAAAAAATATTAGAATTTAAAAAGAGAAAAAAAATAATTTGAAATGAAAGGGAAAAGAAGGAAATAATTTTTTTTTAATCAACATTCAAAATAAAATGAAAACGAGTCATAAAAATATGAATGAAATTAAGAAAATAAAGAAAAAAAAACATAAAAAATTGTCAAAATATATTGTGTGTTGAAATTTATAAAAAATAATATGATGAACAATAATTTTTTTAATTGAATTAACTTTTTTACAACAAATATTTGCTTAAAGCACTTTCATATTTTTACAAATTAAAATGAAATAAAAATATACCAAAATATAGTAAAACCGAGAGATTTTGGACACTTGCGGATCTAAACTTTTATTTTATATATAGAATCATTTTTGTATATACACATGTTAAAAATATATTCCAAAATCTAGAAGCTTATTGTGTTATTATTCTATTTTGATTTTGAAAGAAAGTTTGTGCTTTTTATTATTCTTATGGAAACGCATTTTTTCGGGTTTTGTCTGAATCCTAAAGTGGTGTAATGGATTACGGATTCACAATGCTACAACCTAGTGACCTGTTACGATCTGTCTTTAAAAATATTTGTCATTATGTTCGTTAGTGGGATATTTGATCTGTCATTTGTTTGTCTATTTATTTACATTGGATCAAATTACAAGCACACCAAGCAACTATGCTTATTTATCTTTCAGCTGTTTACGTACGTAGGGGTGAAATTGAAGAGATGGAAGTTTGCTGGGACGAACTTGTGATCTTTTCTGCAATTGAAAATTGAAACGTAAACAGTATAGGTTATACTTCATACAAGTATATCTTTATCTATTTGTAAATGCTTAAGGATTAAAATTAACAAAACCTTTAATTTAATTTGTAAAAATGATATTTAAAATAAATAAAGCTTTTTTTAATAAATTTGTACAAACTTATTCTATTTTGAACTTATTAATGTTAAGTTACAAAAGATTAAAATAATACAATTTCACAATTTAAAGTGTAAACTTTATATTTTTATCGGCTTAAACCACGCGGTTGAATAAACTCGTTTTAAAGATACTTGTATTAGTATATAATGGTTTAAAGGAATCATAAATTGAGTGACATTGACTAGTTGATTTGAAAGGGGTGGGGGGAAAGAAACTTTGTGAGTGAGAGGGATAACAAAAATGGTCCCGTTACATGCATTCCCAGAAATAATTTTGATTTTTATTATATTTAATTACCTTTCTTAACATTGTTATTGGAAAATAGATGACTCAAAAAGATACGCAAAAACACACAGATCCCAAGACTAAAAATTGTTGCTGGCCCAAAGACACAAACCAAATAAAGAGAGTAACCAAAACTGCTGCGTGTTCACAAACATTGGGCCACTTCCAAAATAACAAAATAGAAACCATTATCTGGCAGGCCGAAAATCATTAAGCCTTCTTCAAAATTTGATTGTTATTGTAATCGCATAATAAAAGCAAGAAGTTTGACCAAACAACAAACGCACTAAATAAAAAAGACAAACAAGAGGGCGGCGAGGGTGGGTGAGACAAAGTCTCGTCTGTGTTATTGATAATTAATAATTTGTATAATTATTTTTGCATAATTTAAAAGAGAATAAGGTTACAAACACATTATATAATATATTTTTTTATTATTAACTAAAATTAATTAAAAATTATAAAAATTTCACTCTTTATCATTCTTATATTAATATTTTTCTTTTATATTTTGTTAATTTTAATTAATAATAAAGAGTGTTTTGCTAATATATATATATTTTTTATAAATTACTGATAACTATATTATTATAATATTAAGATTAATTAGATGTTTTGTTTCTGGTAATATCTGTGAAGCAGAAAGAAAAAAAAAAAAGGAAAGTGGCGGGAAAT